GTCTCTCATACTTTGGACATACTGTCAGAAGGGACCAGTTGCTAGAGAAGGATATCATGTTTGGTAAGGTGGAGGGTCAGAGAAAAAGAGGAAGACCCTCAGTGAGATGGACTGACAGAGTGGCAGCATCAATAGGCTCAAGCATGGCAACAATTGTGAGGTTGGCCCAGGATCAGGTAGTGTCTCGTTCTGTTGTACACGGGATTGCTATGAGTTGTACCAACTCGATGGTACCTAACAACAACAAAGATTATAAAACATAAAAAAGAAAAGTTTCCCAAAGTTGGTTCCAATGCAAATACCTGGGAATTTAAGTACATAATACATTTTAAATATGTTGAATAACATAATTCATATAGACTGAAGAATACAATGGGAAAGTACACTGCCTAAAGATTTTAAGATTTTAACTCATCATTTTGCAGGTAGAAAAAAACAAGAATCCTCTGCATATTACTTAGTACATCATGGTATAATTTAAAGTATATTATGTTCCACATTCCTAAAATGGCAGTAATTATTGTATAATAGTGCAATCACAGAGCACTTGTAAACATTTTTCTGTTCAATAACATCAGTACCTATCACAACAGACATTGGTTAGCTGTAAGGTGTTTCTCAGATCTGAGTTTTCTAAGTTTTGCTGTTTTATTGGTCACAACCACTATCCCATCCAAAGACGTCTACTGCTTGGGACTAGAGGAACAGGTGGTGTGTAGCTGGATTTGAAGAAATCTTTCACTTTTTGAAATGGAAAGGGGGATGTGGTTCAATGATTGGAAGCATAGCTGTATGCCACAGACAATTCTACTGAGCACTGTTTAGGTTAGGACACTCCGTTAAACTGCATGAGATTCTGGCCAGAGGAGTCTTTAGTATGACAGCTGCATTCTTTCTCTTAGGCCCTTCATGTTAGAGAAGGGAAATAAGGAAAGATGCATACCAGAGTTGGTTGACATTATATTAGCCTTTGTTAAAAAAATACCACTAAAAGCCTGATGGTTACAGAGTGGCGTTATAAAAAAACAGACCTATACAGCTGAATCTTAAATAAATTACAATTCTTATACATTGAGATTCTTGAGAGCTAGTGACAAATCCAAGTAATGATAGGCTATATAACAAGGCAAGTAAATGCCCTTCTGTCTTTTCATCAGCATTTATAGTCTGTGACTTCCAGGGGAAGTCCTTAGATGTGCTGTTGAGTGCTAACCAATGAACACAGATCTAATGATGGGGCACTGGCAGAAAGTAGCTTCTTAACTCGAAATCCAAACTTCATTTCAACTTTATTTTTTGCATCCTCCTGGCAAGAAAAGATACATCACCTTCCTTCAACACTAGAGAAACTCAAAATGTTAATTCCCAAAGTTTCATTCACCGCCCTTTAAGTTACAAGATGTGCACTTTAACAACAGGAACATGAGTCATTCAATTGTAAATACGAACCTAACAGGTTAAATATGTTTCTTAAATACTACGCATGTAATCTTCCACATCCCTATGGTCTGCTTCAGGTCTGAGATGCTGCTTCCATTCTTTTTATAAGGCTCTTCAGTACAGAATAGCATCTCAAAGGTCAGACCTTGAAGATGAAAGTGGCCAGATTTGTATTTTATTTCAGAAAAGGCTAGGCTGGGTCTCATTGAGTGGCCTTGTGAATCTGACCAGATAGTTAAAAAGAGGAATCAAAGAGATATTGGATCTCCAGAGAAAAACAAAGTGCTGCCCCCTATAAATCACAGTCTTTGTGGAATAAAGTCTTCCTAAAGAGGTAGAAATCATAGGAGGTGTGTGTTGCCGATGTCCACTTTTCAATGATACTGAATACTGTGTTACTGGTCTGAATCTTTAAGGACTTAAAATGGGTTGACTCCACTCATCTCTCGGATTTTTTCATAAGTAAGCCAAAACACCAGTGACCAGGGAGTCTGAAAGATTAACAAAAAAAAGTTAGTGCATATTTCAAAGCAATTACTAATGTAAATATACATTTGTAGTGGTGGTGGTGGTTACGTGCTGTGGAGTTGGTTCTGACTCATAACAACCCTATATAGGGTTTCCAAGGCTGTAAATCTTTAGGCAACAGAAAACCTCATCTTTCTTCCAGAAACAGTTGGCAGTTATGAACTTCTGACCTTGAGGTTAGCAGCCGTACTTGTAACCACTATGCTACCAGAGTTTCATACACACACACAAATACATGTGCACATATATGTTATTAAGTGCTGTTGAGTCAGTTCTGACCTATAACAACCCTATATAAGGTATCCTAGGAGCGGCTGATGAGCTTGAATCGCTGACCTCGTGGTTCAAACAGACTTTGCAATCTAGCACATTAACCCACAGCATCACACCAGGATTCCAATGTTGTTGTTAAGTGCCATCACATTGTTTCCAATTCATAGCTACCCTGTATAGGGGTTCCTGTGGGTTTGAACCACCAACTCACAGTTCAAATCAATCTTGTTCTCTAGTGCTTATCCTACAGTGCCAGACCAGGACTCCATGCATATATTCACATAGATATATGTACATATATATCTATGTAGGTTTCAGCTGAAATTCCAGATGAAGACAGTCTAGGAAGAAGACAGACTTCTGAATATTTAGTCACTAAAAATCTATGAATAACACTGGAACACTGTCAGCACCAGAATACTGAATATTGAAACATGATGAAGAGCACCAGAATATTGTCAGATATAGTGCTGTAAAATGAGCCTTTCAGGTTGGAAGGCACTCAAAATACAACAGGGGAAGAGCTGCCTCCTCAAAGTAGAGTTGACCATAATGATGTGAATGGAGTGAAGTCTTTAGGATCTTTATTTGGTGATGGGGTACAACTTAAAATGAAGAGAAACAGCTTTAAACATCCATTAATAATCAGAACATGGAATGTACAAAGTATGAATCTAGGAAAATGTGAAATTGTCAAAAATGAAATGGAACTTATAAACATCAATATCTTAGGCATTAGTGAGCTGAAATGGACTGGTAATGGCCATTTTGAATCTGACAATCACATGGTTTACTGTGCTAGGAATGACATTGTAGAGAAATAGCATCGCATTAATCATGTAAAAGAACATAACAAGATCTGTCTTGAAGTACAATGTTGTCTGTGATAGGATAATATCCATATGTCTACAAGGAAGACCAATTAATACCACTACTATTCAAATTACACACCAACCACTAAAGCCAGTGATGATGAAATTGAAGACTTCTTCCAACTTCTTCAGTCTGAAATTGATCAAACATGCAATCAACATGTGTTAATAATTACTGGTAATTGGAATGTAAAGGTTGGAAACAAACAGAAAGTCTCAGTAGTTGGAAAATAATGGCCTTGCTGATAGAAATAATGCTGGAGATTGCATGATAGAATTTTGCAAGACCAATGACTTCTTCATTGCGAATACCTCTTTTAAACAACGTAAAAGATGATTATACACATGGACCTCACCAGATGGACTATACAGAAATCAAATTGACTACATCTGTGGAAAGAGATGGTGTTAAAAGCTCCTTGTCATCAGCCAAAACATGATCAGGAGTAGATTGTGGAACAGACCATCAATTGCTCATATGCAAGTTCAGGCTGAAGCTGAAGAAAATTAAAATGAGTCCTTGAGAGCCAAAATATGATCTTGAACATCTCCCACCTGAATTTAGAGATCATCTGAAGACCAGATTTGATGCATTAGACACTAAAGACCAAATACCAGAAGAGTTGTGGAATGACATCAAGAACATCATACAGGAAGTAAGCAAAAGGTCATTGAGAAGACAAGAGAGAAGAAAAAGACCCCAATGGATGTCAGAAGAGACTCTGAAATTTGCTCTCCAGCATAGAGATGCTAAAGCAAATGGAAGAAATGAGGAGAGGTAAAAGAGCTGAATAGAAAATATCGTAGAGAAATTTGAGAAGACAAGGTCAAATATTATAACAAAATGTTCAAAGACCTGTAGCTATGATACCAAAAGGGAAGAACACACTAAGCATTTCTCAAGCTGAGGGAACTGAAGAAAAAAAATTCAAGCCTAGCTTGCAATATATTTAATGCTCTGGATTTCAAGGTTTGTTTGAACTGCAAGATTGGTGGTTCAAGCTCACCAGTTGCTCCTTGGAAACCATATACAGAGCCACTATGAGTTGGAACCAACTCAATGCAATTAACAACAACATGGGCAAAATATTGAATGATGCAGAAAGCATCAAAAGAAGATAGAAGGAATACACAGAGTGACTATACCAAAAATAAATGGTTGATATTCAACCATTTCAAGAGGTAGCATATTACCAAGAGTCAATGATACTGAAAAAGTCCAAGGTAAACTGAAGACATTTTCAAAGGACAAGGTACCAGGAAGAGATGGAATACAAATTGAAATCTTTCAGCAAACTGATGCAGCACTGGGAGGTGCTCACTCATCTATTCCAAGAAATTTGGAAGACAGCTACGTAGCCAACTTATTGCAAGAGGTCCATATTTGTGCCCAGTCCAAAGAGGTGACCCTGCAGAATGCAAAAATCATTGGAAAATATTATTAATATCACATGCAAGTAACATTTTGCTAAAGATGATGCAGAAATTACTGCAACCATACTTTGACAGAAAACTTTGAGAGGTTCAAGCCAGATTCAGAAGAGGATGTGGAATGAGGAATATCATTGCTGACATTAGATGGATTTTGACTGAAGGTAGAGGATACCAGAAAGATATTTCCCTGTGCTTCATTGACTACACAAAGGCTTTTGACTGTATGGATCCTAACAAGCAATGGACAATATTGTGGAGAATGTATATTCTGCAACACTTAATTCGTGAGGAACCTGTATATAGACCAAGAGGCAGATGTTTGAACATCAAATGGTTTAAAATGAGGAAAGGTGTGAGCCAGGGCTTTATGCTTCCACCTATACTTATTCAATCTGTATGCTGAGCAAATAATCTGAGAAGCTGTATTATATGAAGACAAACGTGGCATTAGGATTAAAGGAAGACTCATTAACAACTGTGATATGCAGATGATATAATTTTGCTTGCTGAAAGCCAAGAGGACTTAAAATACTTACTGATGAAAAGCAAAGCCTTCTGTATGGGTTGCAGTTCAATGACAGAAAATGAAAATCCTCACCACTGGTGCTGTGGAATAAAGCACTGGACCACAAGGTTGGTTTGAACAACATTGTTGGTGGTTCAAACTCACCAGCCACTCCTTGGAAACTCTATACAGGGTCACTATAAATCAGAACCAACTCGTCAGCATTTGAAAACCACAACAACATATGAATGGAAGATTGAAGTTGTCAAAGACTTCATTTTGCTCAGATCAGCCATCAACACTCATGGAAGCAGTTGGCAAGAAATCAAACGATGTATTACATTAGGCAAATCTGCCACACAAGACTTCTTTAAATTGTTCAACAACAGATATGCCAGGTATGCCTGGCCCAAACCATAGTATTTCCAATCACTTCATATGAATGTGACAGCTGGACAGTGAATAGGGGAGACCGTAGAAGAATTGATGCATTTGAGTTATGATGATGGAGGAGAATATTAAAAGTACCATGAATTGCCAAAAGAACAAACCAATCTGTGTTGGAGGAAGTATAGCTACAATGCGCCTTGGAAGCCAGGACGATCAGACTGTCTCTCATACTTTGGGCTTACTATCAGGAAGGATCAGTTCCTGGAGAAGGATATTATGTTTGGTAAAGTGGAGGGTCAGAAAAAAAGAGGAAGACCCCTAACAAGATGGATTGGCACAGTTGCAATAGCAATGGGTTCAACCACAGCAACGATTGTGAATCTGGCACAGGACCCGGCAGTGTTCCGTTCTGTTGTGATTAGGGTCGTTATGAGCCGGTACTGACTCGATGGCCCCTAACAGCAGCATGTGTGTATATATACACATCACCTTCAGGTAACAGTCATTTTTAATCCATTTATGCTGAAACCAATATTATGATATTTCAAACATAAAGAATTCACAATTTGCAAAGCATTTTCACATTGGGTTTCTCATAAATTCCTCTAAACAGAAATTTTAACATCTCTATTTTACAGAAGAGGACACTGAGGCTTATTGCTAAATGACAATTTGCATACTGTGAGGGAGAACAACTGTTTCTGGTTTCCATTGTAGTTTGCTGTCTACTGAATCATATTGATTCAAGGGCAAGGATTCAGGAAGTATGGATAGACTAGACTGGGGTCCTCTGCATGTAGTTCATACCTGGAGCATGACAATGAGGCACTTAAAATCTTGAAACTGAGGAAGATGAAAGGTTATCCTTTGGGTATTAGGTCATAAAGCCAACAATTGATGTATCACAATAAAGGACATTAAAATTGACATTTAGTAGAGAAAGAGTTTTCACGTCAGAAAAACTTGCCTTTAACTGGAATGGAGGTGTAACTATACCTGAAGAGATTATAAGGGGATAAGATTTCTTCAACAAGAAATCAGTGCCATCCTTTTAATTCCAACACTAAATGACCTTATAGGAAAAAGTAGAACTGCTCCTTATAATTTCTAAGACTGTAAAACCTCACAGGAACAGACAGCCTCATCTTTCTCCCATGGAGTGGCTGGTGGGCTTGAACCATTTGATCTTGTAATTAGCAATCCAACGCTTAACCTAGTCCACCACTAAGGCTCCGATTACAGAAGATGGTGGTGGTGGTTATGTGCCGTGGAGTCAGAACCTACTCATAGCGACCCTGTACAGGGCTTCTGAGGCTGTAAATCTTTACAGGAGCAGAAAGTCTCATCTTTCTCCCGTGGAACAGCTGGTAGTTTCGAACTGCTGACCTTAAGGTTCACAGCCTGATTCATAACCACTACACTACCAGAGCTCCTACAGAAGATAGAAAGTCTAAAAATTAAAGGAGGAAATTGCAGAGTAAACATTAGAAATCACCATCAGAAAAAGTGCCTATTATAGAATGCATGTTTGATTCAGTGCATAGGCTTGGGATAGAGTTTAGCTGGGTTTTGAATAGAAATTCAGGCAGGAAGCAGGGAGAGTATCATCTAATCAAAGATCACAGGCAGTATATCAACAGGCTATACTGATCCTGTGTGCTGGAGCACTATTTCCTTGTTGATGTTCTTGTTGAAATAGGTGTGACTAGTGTAAATAAAGGAGCTCTGGTAGCGTAGTAGTTACGAATCAGGCTGCGAACTGCAAGGTCAGCAGTTCGAAACTACAAGCTGCTCCGTGGGAGAAAGATGAGGCATTCTGTTCCTGTAAAGATTAACAGTCTTGGAAACCCTATGCAGGGTCGCTATGAGTCGGAACCGACTCCATGGCACATAACAACAACAACATGTAGAGAATCCAACAGTATATAATCCATGTTGTCTCCTTTGGCCTGCCTGCTGTTCTAACTGCTGGGAGAAAGCAGAATACTTCCTCATACCTTTTATTCTTAATACATTTATAAATAGATTGTTCTTGTGATTCCAAGTCCAGCAAACAACCTTCTGACTGTAACTTGGCTTAGTGTCTGGTTCCCTTGCCAAGTTGAGTTTTTCAGTGTGAATGAACAAAATGTTCTGGTTTGACTATCAGTTTCAGTGAGTTCAGCTAAGGTGAAATCTGTATTTGCAAGGCTGATTTATTTGGATGCACTAAGTTAGGTTTCTAAGTTCAGTGCCACCAGGCTTTGTGGTAAATCAACAAAGACATGCTACCCTGGTGATCCAGCCTATCTTTGGCAATACTTCACCTTCACCATGCATTGTCTCTTTACTTTGAAAACTTCTATAACTAGCTTCAGACCCTTGAGCAATTCAGTGTATTATTTTAGTTTGGAGAATGGGGTTTACAGGCAAAGAGACTTGCAGTCCGTCAATTCCCAGGTTTGCCATGTTCTAGTTACATGCCTTTGAGCAAGTGTATTAACTCTTTAAGCCATGATCTCATCATCTCAAAAATGAGGCTAACAGGATAGCGTCACCTGCTTTAATAGATTTTTGTAAGATTTTGTAAATGCTAATGTACGTTGTGTGTGGTGCTGTAGGTTAATGTGCCACTGCAAAGCCGTTTGAACTGTAAGGTCAGCAGTTCAAGCTCACCAGTTGCTCCTTGGAAACCCTATACAGAGTTGCAATGGGTTGGAATCGACTTGACGGCACTTAACAACAGCAACAACAATGTATATTAGACAAGCTGAGTATAGTGCTTGTCACCTATTACGTTTTACTTTGTTCTGTCTTTGTCATTTATACTTCCCAAGCCTCATATATAAAGGGAATAGATTAAATAATCCCAGCATTTGTGTGTACCTGGATATCCTCCCTGCCCCTCATTCCCTCCTGACCCTGATTTTATTTTCATCAGTGGTCTCACTCACCTTCTTGGCCTCTCACGCTAGAAACATACAGTCACATTACTCTCTTTCACTCACTTTCCACATATAATTGGCTATTAAATCCTGTTAAGTCAACCATATTGTTGTTGTTAAGTGCTGTCGAGTTGGTTCTGATTCATAGAGACTCTATGTAGGTGAGCTTGAACCGCCAACCAACACCATTAATGTTCCTATATTCTATCTTCTCTTCATTTCTACTGGAGCTGTAGGGTAAGCACTGGCTTGGTAACCACAAGGTCAGTGGTTTAAATCCACCATATACGGGGTCGTTATGAGTCGGAATTGACTCAATGACACTTAACAACAACATCTGTGTTCCCACAATATTTTGTTCATGCTGTTGGCAGACCACATAATGTCACTGTTGAGTCTGCTCTGACTCACAATGACACTATGTACAACAGAATGAAACACTGCCGGTCCTGCACCTTCTTCAGGGTTGATAGTATGTATGCCAAACTGATAGAACTGGTAATGCACTAATACAGCCTACTTGTTAAGACTATGTCCTTTGGAGTCAGACAGACTGAGTCTGATGCTCTGACTCCATTATTTAATAATGGACTCAATGGCAGTGATTTTGTTTTTTTATGACCTGGCTAGATTATGTAGACTTTGTAAGCTTTTGTATCTTCTTGTATAAAAGAAGCATATAATACTAATCGATTGCACAAGTCCTGGTGTGGTGCTGTGGGTTAATGCACCAGACTGCAAGGCTATTTGAACGGCAAGGTTGGCAGTTTAAGCTCACCAGCTGCTCCTCGGAAACTCTATACAGGGTCACTATGGGTCGGACTCGACTCGACGGCACTTCACAACAATACCATTGCACAAGTAGTTGGGAGAAGCCAATGTGTTACGCCATGTTTAGTCAGTCAATTGTTGGCCATATACCAAGTGATTTACTAATATTAATTTTGTCATTTCAGTGACTTACCTAGTTACACATTTATCATTACATTGCATTATAAACTCCTCTAGTGCAAAGACTCCATCTTATTCCTTACAATTACTAGCACCTATAAAAGTGTCTGGAGTCTTGGTGTGGTGCTGTAGGATAAGCACTGGAATGCTATTCACAAGGTCAGTGGATCAAAAACCCAATATAGTCAGTATGAGTCAGAAACAAGGGCATTTAATGACATAATAGTGTCTAAGGAGCCCTGATGACACTTTGGGTTGGGCTTTGGGCTACAAGGTCAGTGGTTCAAACCCCCCAATTGCTCTGTGGTCGAAAGAGGAGGCTTTCTGCTCCCATAAAGATTTACAGTCTCAGAAGTCCTGTATAGGGTAGGGTCACTATGAATCAGAATGTACTCGATGGCAGCGCTTTGGTTTGGGCGGCTTGGCTATAATTGTGTCTGGTTAATGCAGCCTAAATAAAATAGTTCCTTTCCAGTAAGAAGCATCCACAGTTTTGACGTAATTTCAAGGGGTAATCAAGACCACCCAAAATATGTTTTTTAAAAATATATGGTATACAGTTGTATCAAATACTGCTAAGTGCTTTGACTATTAATTTCATTTTATTAAAGAGACACTTACTATTCCTTGAAGACCTAGTTTGGCACTGTAGGATAAGCACACGACCCCAAGGTCGGTGGTACAAACTCTCTAGTTGCTCCCTGGAAACCCTATACAGGGTCACTGTGAGTTGGAACCAACTTGATGGCACTTAGCAACAACAACTCTTCCTTGGCAGTATCATTTATTTCCTTTGCTTTAGTTAGCATCTCTACATAGATAATGTAAAGATCTAAATGATCTTTATTGGATTACTTCCCAAGAGCCAGACCTAGTATTAAGATAGTTGTCTGTAGTTCTATTTGGACTAACTCGTAGCGCCACACCAGGACTCCAAGATAGTTTGTCTAGACAGTTCTATTTGGACTTTCTAACACAGCTAAAACATAACTTGTTTTTTTACCCCAAAATCTTCCTTGCAAATGATGATCATCATTTTTTCTTGGCAGAAATCTGGGAGTAAGGCTGACTTCCTCTTCTCCAATCATTCCTCCAGCCCCATCCAATCAGTCAGATTCCTATCTCTTTTAAACTTCCTAAATAGTTTTCTAAATCCATTTTCTTCTCTCCCTAATGTCAATGTCATAGTCTAGCTCAAGCTCCACTCTCTCTTAACTACGTACGACTCCTGCCCTTTTGCCAATCGACAAGGCAACTAGAATCAATTTTCCAAAAATACAGATTTATCAAGTCAGTGTCCTGTTTAAAATTCTCCAGCAGTACTCCACCACTGTTTGACTTGTATGGCCCTCCATGACTGGGTCTCTGCCTCATCCTGTGCCTCTGTCCTCCACGGTCTGGGCATCAGGCTGTGGGGTGCTCTCTGGTTCCTTGAGCTATTCATGCCTTATCTGTCTCCTTCATCCCTCCACTTACCTGGCAAGTCCTATTCATTTTTCAAATCTTAGTTCAAACGTCCATTCTCTGAGGAGGCCTTCATCTTTTAGCCCATGCTCTACTTAAACCAGCTACCGCTGTGTTGGTTCTGACTCATAGTGACCTTGTTGGTTAATGCTGTCAAGTTGGTTCTGACTCACAGAGTAACCCTGTATTGGGTTTGACTGGTGGGTGTGAACCTCAGACCTGCAGTTAGCAGTCTAGTGCTGATCCTACAGCGCCACACTAGGACTCCACAGTGACCATCCTGCTCTATATTTCCATAGAACCACGCATTTATTTCCACAAGACTCACACTGAGGATTCCTCCTCAAAGTTTCTATTCAACCCAAACTATAATATGCTTCTGTGTTAGGGCAGGGCTAAGTCTATCTTGCTCACCTCAAAGCCAACCTTTTATAGCACTTTGCCTGGAGTAGGTGCTCAATTAATACTATTCTATTTTGGTAATATTTCATTGTTTGGAGATTTAAACCCAAAACTCATCCATTCCTTTAAATATTCTCTAACTTATGAAAGACTAAATTACTTTGTTTGTATATTTTCTGTTAGTTAATCATCAAGTCTGTCTAATTCTACATCTTAGTTCACTTCACATCTAAACCAAATATAAATGATGTAATGATTCCTTACTGATCAGAGTTCTGTGGTAACAAGGATTAATGGATAGTGTAATTTCTGTCATCAAAGTAATAAATTATGTTTTAAAACATTAAAAAATTTCATACGAAGGGTCTCTAGTATCAAAGTAACAAATCTATAACTTGTTCCAAACTACTATATTGTAGCTAAGTAGACTACTAAAGGTTTTACCTTGCAGAAAATCGATTCATATCTTTATAACAACAGAATGTCAGCCTATTAATTTATAGATGTAATTAAATTAGTTTACGTTAATCTACCACACAGGTAATATCATTTTGAGAAGTAGAAAAGGAAATCAAAAGAGGTTTTTTTAAAAGAATGAACCTTAATTTGGTGCAGAGTCATTGCAAACACTGAAAGGAAAAGGGGAATATATTCACAAATGAACAATAATTTAAATACAATAACTTAAATACAAAGGAAGAGGGGAAAAGGCTAACTTTACCATTCGCAGCCAAGATGGTAAAAAGCCTTTATAGAGACTCATGAATCCTTCACCTTTAACTGCCTGAATCAAGCAATCAGTAGATGATTTATACAAAAGTCCCCTAAAAGGAAAATAAGACAATTTTGTTAAATCCCTTCTTTGTAAACAGACAAATAAAATAAATATAACCTAACTATGTAATTTTTCCCACATAAAACCATCAAGGGCTCATTCCCTAGTTATTAGACTTAGCTCACGCGTCTCCATCTCACGCGTACTATAACTAAGCCTAGTCCTTCAGTCCACTCCATACAGTTTAATCAAATTGCATAAAATGACATAATAATTTAAAAGGAATCTATAGTCTAACTACATTCTCATAAATTAAATATTTTCTGCTAATCTGAACAAATAATATCTGTGGTTCATATAGATTATTGCTTTTTGAGGTTAGCGATATCTTCATAGCTGACTCTTCTCAGCCATCTCATCCTTGGTCCTTTTCTTGAAGTTCACTCCACCTCATCTCTTCCAGAAAGAACATGTTGTTAAGTATCAAATCAAATTCTCCTTGTTACCTATAGATGATACATTTCTGAAGAAAATGCTCTGCAAAGTCACAGCAGAGTACTCTTTCAAAAACTCCTTGAAAACAATAAAGTCACAGTGAATAACTTATGTGTAAATAATTATTGTAAATTATAATTCATTTTCCCAAATGCATCATGCATTTTCAAAAGACAAAAGAGCAGGTAATTGCATTAAAAAAAACAGACAAAAAAAACCAAAAACTTCCTGGTTGGACATGTTAATGCAAAAACGTATTTCCATCAAGAATAAACACATAAACAATCTTTGAAGGACAACGTTATTATAAGCATTCGAGCACATGGATACTGAAGACTTTCTATTTACCTTCCTTGTTTATCTCTTGGTTGATTCATTATTCGGCTTTTGATGACATCAGCTGGTGTTCCCAGAATAGAAGCTACCAGTCCAGAACATAAACTACAGACAAAGAAGTAAAACGGATAGATAATATGTGACAATTTCTAAAATTTAAGGAAGAGGATTTGAAATTTAGGAAGAATGGAATACTACATATTGTATTTCACCAGTTTCCACAATAACACTCTTTTACCTTAAAATTAATGCGAAATTAATTTATTTGAGATGTAGACAAAATTAAAAAAAATGTCAGTATGCCAAATATGCCTAGAGCAGCTGCTGGTGACAGGTTGTTAACAAGACAGATAAGACGCTGCCTTCAGGGAGCTTACACTTTAGTTAGGGGGAGACAGAGAATGACAATTTTAGGCGTTAATGAATGCTCTGAAGAAAATAAAATGGGGTCATGTAATAGAGTAACTAGGTTAAAACCTGGTGTCAGTGAGTTGATGCCGACTCACAGTAAGTAACTCTATGTTGTTGGTAAGTGCCATCAAGTTGATTCCAACCCATAGCGACCCTGTATTGGGTTTCCGAGGAGCAGCTGGTGAGTTTGAACCGCCGACCTTGCAGTTCAAATGACTTTGCAGTCTGGAGCATTATCCCACAGTGCCACACCAGGACTCCTCCCAGTAACCCTATGGTGTTGTTAAGTGCTATCGATTTGGTTCTGACCCTGTAAAGGGTTTCTGAGGAGTGTCTGGTGAGCTTGAACAACAAGTTTGCGGTTCAAACTGACATTGCAGTCCAGTGTATTGACTCATAGTGCCACACCAGGACTCCAGTGACCCGATTGGTTTGGGTTGGTTATGTGCCATGGAGTCAGTTCCGATTCATAGTGACCCTGTATATGATATCCGAGGCTGTAAATCTTTACAGGAGCAGAAAGCCTCATCTTTCTCCCATGGAACAGCTGGTAGTTTCAAACTGCTGACCTCAAAATTAGCAGCCCAACTCATAACCACTATATTAGTAGAGCTCCTTCCAGTGACTTCATAGGGCAGAGTGAAACTGCTGTAAATCTTCATGGAAACAAACGGCCTCATCTTTCTTCTGCAGAGTGGCTGGTAGGTTTGGCCCACCAACTGTTTGCTTAGCAGCCCAATACTAGGTACCAGGCAGTTGGGGAAAGGCTTTCAGGGTGACAACAGAGCTGAGTCCTGAATACTAACAGGAGTGTTCATGTGAAGACCTGGAGGAAGAGAGCTGTAAGCAGAAGGAGGAAAGATGCACAAAGTCCTCGAGCTAAGAAAACTCTTGATGTTTCTAAGAGACCAAAAGCAGCCCACATGGCTCCAACATGGCAGAGGCGGGTAAAAATCCAGACAGAGGAAAGACTGCAGAAGCAGGCAAGGATCAGCACATGAAGCCTACTTGAGTTTAATCTTATTCTGATGTGAGGGAAGTTACTGAGAGGATTTTAAATAGGCTCCTCACACAATTTGGTTAGTATTTGAAAAGCAAATTTATTCCGACCACAGTTGAAGTTTCAGTTCACTAAAAGCGATTCCATTTGAATATAACATCTTTGCCTGTTTCTCTCCACCCATAAACAATAA